TACTGCAATCATTATAACCAGCTGTGCTGAAGCAGGGAAACCTCTAAAACCTGCAGGACAGCGGGCCTCGAGGATGCCTGATGTAGACTAACGTGAATAATAACTGGGAGAGACACATTCTGAAAAACCTTCAGATTTTAACTACATATTACTATATATTACATCCTATTATGGTTATGTTTCATTTAAACCAGTGATTTTGAATTTTTTTTCTTCAAGTTTCTCATTAATATGGATTCCTAAATATTTTATTTCAAATTTGACTGAAAAAAGCTGTATCTCTGCAATCATATAAGGGAAGTATATAATTTTTTTGGGGTTAGGCTTCAGTCTGTGCTTTAGGAGAAACAGAGGTCACATTTAAGCCATTTGGAAGAATTTATTTTATCTTTAAAAAAGTATTATCAGCAAATTGACTCAACTTCAACCCAGACTAACAAACTTGTTTCCATTTAAAGATCCTAGATGAGCCAACATCTGCATGCAAAGAATACATTATTTGGTTAAATAGGCCATCCTTGTCTTAGACTTGGACTTAGACAAACTTTATCTTCATTTTTTGCACTCTGTGCATACAAAATTAAATTCCATTGCATACAGCTTACAAGAGTGAAACAGTGAAATGAACATTACCATTTATAAAGTGCAGTAGTGATCAGAATGTAAACAGTGTAGGAGAAAAAAAAACAGTTAAAAAATAATGGTGCAAAAGTGCATTAACATGAAAAGGTTCAGTGCAGTGTGCACATATATAAATATGGTGCAAAATGCAGTAGATGAGTTGTGTCCTGTTTAATAGGATTCTAAAAGGTCAGCATGTTGGTAATGCAAAAAAATGTTGCAAGTGTGATGCTGAGTTCAGTTTAGTTCAGTAGTTCAGCAGTCTGATGGCGGTGGGGAAGAAGCTGTTGCAGAATCTGCTGTTCCTGCATCAAATGCTGTGAAGCCTCTTCCCAGAGGGCAGCAGGGAGAACAGTCCATGGTGGGGGGGTGGGGGGTCATTGATGATGTCACAGGCTCGGGACACACAGCACTGGGATGAAATGTCTTTAATGGAGGGAAGAGGAGCCTTCATGATCTTCAGTCTTCACACCACACAGTGAGACAGCTGGTCAGAAAGCTCTCTATGATCTGATCATAAAACATTTTTAGTATTTTAATAAATTTGTTTCCGAAGGGCGAAAGTTTCAGTGATCTCATTATTAGGTTCAATAGATTCACATTCGTTAAAGAAGTTAATGAATTGCATTACACCTGTTGAATTTAGGAGAGCATATTTGATCATATTCCTTATTAACCTCACAGCTACAGATGTGTAGAACATTGATGGAGGATGACTGAATTTCACCTGCTAATTTATTCATGACCTTTATAATCCTATTAATATTACAGTTATTCATCTTCAACCGTCCTTGATTGATCCTTATTGACTTTGGTAACAACTTAAAACTGTTTTAATTGTTATATCGCTGGATATACATGCATTAAATAATAAATTTTTTATTGCCTTATAAAAGATCTTAAAAAAAAACTAAAGTATATGCCAAAATTACCGGCCAATTCATCTTATTGTTAATTGTATTAGAGCTCTTTTAATTTCTGAACATGTTAAATGTTTTTCTTAAGTTTCTTTTTATCTGATCATTTGTTTAGGTTGTTTTTGTGGCATTCATGAACTCATCACAAAGATCTACTTTACATTTGTTCTAATATAGATTGCTAAAAAAAATTGCTTTAATTCCCCTTTTATTTGAATTACATCCTCAAAAAAATGTTTTAACTTTATTTAATATTTTTATTCATCTTTAAGGTTGTCTTTGTCTTTCAAGGCTGTAAAAATATGATGAGTTTTTTTTCCCCTATTCAATCCATTTTGCTTAGGATCTTATTTAAAAGCTTCATTTATAATTTTCCAAGTATTTACCATTTAACCGACCTTGGATTTCTCCTGTTCTTTTCCAGTTTATATCAAACGTTCTTCATAGTTCAGTCATCTTTTTAAACAGTTCCTTTTGTTTAGATTCCCATATTTCTGAAACTGTAGTCTTAATTTCAAAAGCTGTGTGTTTCGCTCTAAATTGAACCATTCCCATTTGCTTATATCAATGTTTACATCCAGACATAAATGAAATTCTTCATTCAGTAGCAAAGCATTGCTGAATTTCCAAATACTGCTTGTTCTTTTGTTTTTCTTGGTTATCGACAATGATGAGATAATCAATAATCATTAATAGGTGATGATGGAAATTAGTTACACTTTGAGAAAAAAAGCCAGTAATCTAACCTCCCTATCAGCTGGATTAAGCCATTTAGGCCTATTTATGTCAGGGTCAGGCAATAATCTTAAAGATTATTATTTTATAAATTTTTTTTATTACATTTGGTACATTAGTTGTACATATTTGGGGGACTTCCGGGCAAGTTAGGAAGCTTTTGATAAAATCGGCCCCTGTGATTATGTTGTATGGCTTGGATAAACATATCTTCTTACCATCTATTAGCGTCAGAGGTGGAGGATGTATATTTGCTAAATAAAATAAATTACTGCATTCAAAGTTCAGCAACAAAGTGCCCGTTTAAGAGATTTTTTAAGGCGCTGCTACCCAATGTTTATAGTTTAGCAACCATTATTTTTTTTATTATTTTTATTATTGTTATTCTCTCTGTTCGTCAACTATATATTTTTAAAATTCTGTTTTCTGAAAGGTATATTTTATATCATATAAATAACTTGTGTGTGTGTGGGGGGGGGGTGGTGATCAATAATGTTTTGGACTTCCATTTTTTAAAATCTGCCTCTACTATTCCTTCCACACATTTGTACTGTTGCTATTGCCTTACTTGTTTGTACCTAATTTGTTTTTAAAAGGTTCATCATAAAAAATATATATATATAAAAAAAAAAACTTGTGTTGGGGGAGGCTTTTATTGTGAAAGTTCATAAGAAAGCTTTATTCACGTGTCCATATTTCAATCAATCACAGCTAAGATCTCGGTTTGGGACCAATCACAGCGTCAGACGTAGCTTGTATCCGGGTAAAATTACTTCCTCCGTTAGCTTGACATGCGCAGTGTCCGCCTTCCAACCTCCTCTTTGACTGTGGCGGTGAGCGACAGACACCATGAAGGCGTCCGGAACAGTAAGAAAACCTCCGATTTAGCTTTATTAACGCTTTCTACACGACTGAAAACGGCAAATTTAGATGAATGACTTACTTTTTTCTTGCTTGTTGTGAAAACCTGTGCGAAAAGTCCGCTTTAGAAGGGGAAAATTAATGAATTTTATGCCGCTGCCGCTCCAACATGGCGGCCACGGCACCATGTGGACAAAGATCAGGCTGGAGATGAACTGAAGCGCTTTACGGTATAAAGTTTAAAATAAACATAGATATTAAAATCCGTTGGGTTTTAAATCCGGTTCAGAACTGAGTCCTTGTTTAGTGATAAACTAGCTGTAGTAACGGAGAAATCCTCCACAGCGGCCCAGTTAAAGCGGCTGTATACCGCTCAGGGATTATATGTAATGTTACTGCAAATTACTAATATTGGAACATAATCCGTTTTTAGAACCAATTAGTCTGTTCTGTAACTAAAACACAGATTATCCAGAAGAACTGACCGCCCTGAAACCTTGATCCTCCTGCGACAGCAGAACTCCGGTTAAAAAGGACCAATTTTAAGGTTTTTGTTGTTAGTTAAATATTTACAGTTAAGTTTAAATGAAAATAAAAACAAGAGGCCCTAGTGTGAAACTCAGTGGTTGGTTCGGGTCCATTTTGACTGAAGAATAGGCATTATGGCAAGTTAGAGTAGACTTTGGAAAAAAAATGGAAAAACATCAAAGCTAAGATCAAACAACCCGCCTGTTTCATCGCTAACAAAATATAATTGAAGCCTATAAAGAACTCCAATTTCTTATTAATATTGATATTAGACTTGAATTATTCTACTTCATTGATTTGTTTAAAACAGGCTGCAGAAAAAGTTTCAAAAGTTCAGTCATATTGAAATGTCAAATAATTCTGGCTTAAACATGTATATAACTACTCTTTATCAGACCATATTGACCTAAAAGTTAAAAACATTTCTATAAAAAAAAATACAAATAAATCCCTTCTTAAAATCAATCTATACATCTTCTGCAGGCCAGTTAGTTATACGTCAGCCTGAACACCTAAATTTGGCCAATCATGTATCAACGGTCATCTGTCAATCAAATTTTTTCAATCATAGCATCTTGATTCATATGTTGCAGCTAATATACGCAACGATTGTAATAAGAATCATTTCCTTTCCCATTGAGTTCCGTCCCAGTGCTCACTGGGATGGACGTCTGTGTCTTCAGCAGGCGTAGAGCTAACAGAACTGGCAGCGTTGCGAGGCAAGGGCTCAAACATGTACGGCTGGAAGCCTTCTACACCAAACCAAGCTTCTGGCGTCCTCTTCCACAACATCTTCATCCCCGCTTTCCTCCTCTAAATAAAAAATGGATGACGGAGGAGACTCATCCACGACCTCCGACACTAAACTCTCCTCCTCTCACATGTTTCCACTGCATCCTACCAGCACTAAGTTGCTAACTGGTTTGCAAGATGCTTCCAACAAACCGGCCACAATCAAACATGCTTGCAGACCTTCTGCCTCAACAATTCTGCCCCCTTGATAAACGACCAATCACATTCACTTTATTCACTCCTGTAAAGTCAGGAACCAATCGGGAGAATTCAGAAATGCAACAGAACAGCTGCTTCCCTACGACTTTAGGACTAATGCAGAGTATTTTCACATCAGTTGAACTGATCCCTCAAGTATGCTGCCAATTTTAATGAAGTGGACTTAAATTTCTTGCATTTACATGATAAAAAGGATACGATTGTTAGCCAGTTTAAACAAAAAAAAATAGAGGATGGAAGGAGCAGCAATTGATGCGCTTTGTGTGAACCTATTGTATTAATGATCGTCACGTATGTGGCTGATATCAGCTTAGGTATCCGCCTAATTTCAGTTTTATTACGGTTTTAGATGTTAAGATATGTTTCATGCCAAAGAATTAAATGTTAAGATGTTTATCCATCAGGTTCTGATCCAAAGCTCAGGATAATCTGACCGTTTCTGCACCCAAACCCAAAGGTCTCGTTCTTCTCCGTAGCGAGATTTTGTCTGGCGTGCAAACAGAACCAGAACCTTGTCGCCTTTCTCTGACTGTCGTGTCTTTGAAAGTGAATTCTTGGTCCGACACTATTATGAGATCCAGCCTGTCTGTGATGTGAAGTTCTGATCTGTTCTGCTTCTCCCCGCAGCTTCGGGAGTATAAAGTAATCGGGCGTCTGTTGCCCTCGCCCAAGAACCCTGCCCCCCCTCTGTACCGCATGAGGATCTTCGCCCCAAACCACGTGGTGGCGAAGTCCCGGTTCTGGTACTTTGTGTCTCAGCTGAGGAAGATGAAGAAAGCTTCTGGAGAGATCGTCTACTGTGGCCTGGTGAGTGAACCGGGTCAGAACACAGAATTTAAACAGTGAACATGTCGTCTCAGCTCTGGTTCTGGAGATGTTCAGAACAAGAATCGGATGTTCCGACCCAGAGTTGTCTCAACGTTAAAGCCTTTAAGCTGATCAGAACAAAGGTTTTATTTAACATTCTGACTGGTTCTGAACCAGTGGTTGACCGGTTTGGTTAAAGGCCCGGGTTCTGGTACAGAAAGTCAGCAGAAATCAGGTTCTGATCCAATCATTGGTTCTGAGGAATCCATTCAAGCATTTACAAACTGTATTCATAAAGCCTTTTCTGTACAATAATCCTGCAATAATTTCTGTAAAGCTTCAGGCTGGTTCTGTTTGGGTTCTAAGCCCGGTTCCTCTGTGTTCTGTTTGTGTCCAGGTCCACGAGAAGACGCCTCTGAAGGTGAAGAACTTTGGGATCTGGCTGCGTTACGACTCTCGCAGCGGAACCCACAACATGTACAGAGAGTACAGAGACCTGACCACGTCTGGAGCCGTCACTCAGTGCTGTGAGCATCACCAGAACCACACCCTGTTTCTGTTAGCGGGTCCAAAGATCTGCAGAACCTCAGGCCCACCTACCCGACCTGGTTCTCCTCATTCGGTTACCATGGCGGTTCTAAAGAGGAACGCTGCTGTAGTTGATGTTCTGGTCTTCCAAACGGATCCAGTACTTCACAGAACCTTAGGTCCAGAAGTTTCTCCGGTGATGTTCTGGTTCCCCCTGCTAGACCCGGATGTTTCTCTGGACCATTTTAGATCAGTGGGTCATGAGGTTCTGCAAAACTTGGCTGTAAACTGGACATGCAGGCAGCCCACTGGGCCTTCAGACCGGTTCTGATCCATCTGAGCAGAACTTTTGGTACTGATCCCGGTGGGTCCAGTCCCTCCTGTTTTTATTGGTTCTTCAGGAAGGGGAACCTCACATCACCAGAACTCTGATTTCAGACGAGGTTCTGAATCGCTGCTTCTTTTTTCGTCCTGTACTGTTTGACTTAACACCTCAGTGATCAGAACCGGTTCTGATCCGTTCTGGTTTCAGTTCAGAGATGCTTACCACTCTCTCTGCTCCTAACTGGACCATTCTGACTCTTCTCCTGTGTTTTCAGATCGGGACATGGGAGCTCGCCACCGCGCGCGCGCCCACTCCATCCAGATCATGAAGGTCCAGCTCATCGCTGCCAACAAGTGCCGCCGACCCGCCATCAAGCAGTTCCACGTAAGTTTGCGTCCTCAGCGGGTCTCTCTCCGGACCGCCGACTCTGCGGGCGGCTCCGGATCAAAATCCCGCCACAGAAACAGCCAGATTCCTCTTCCAGGTTTCCAGCTGCTGTCTGGAATCCGGGCGGTTCTGAAACTGGCAACAGAACTTTGATTCTGGTTCTGATTTACGGTTCTAACAGAATGTTCTCCTTCTGCTTCCAGGACTCCAAGATCAGGTTCCCTCTGCCTCACCGGGTCCTCCGCCGGCAGCACAAACCTCGCTTCACCACCAAGAGGCCCAACACCTTCTTCTGAGCACAACCTGGACCTCTGTGCAGAAATCAATAAAAAGAAATCTAGAAATAAACTGTTGGTTCCTAAAGAGTCATGGAATAAAGTTTTTATTGTCTGGAAATCTGTCTGGTTCTGGAGGACAAATAAACGGATCCCTGATCGGGATTATCTGTAGTTCTGGTCCAGTTTGATCCATTAGATCAGAACTCACCCTGGTTTAATCTGAGACCAAATAAACATGAAAGATTTGAGGAAGTTAATTATGAAAATGGGTTTTTCATAAATGCCTTGGAGATCTTATGAAGCAAGATGTTTTTTTCTTTACCTTAGAACATGGCCTGTTCTATCAGCTCACATTAATGGAGGCTATGATGAGCAGCATGAGTTAAACTATTTATTGCCCTGATTTATACTCAGAACCAGGCTGTCTGTGTTGCAGTGAATGCAAATTTGCCCCTCTCTGCTGCACCTCTCCAAAATACAGGTCCTCAAAATATTAGCATATTGTGATAAAGTTGATTATTTTCCATAATGTAATGATAAAACTTGAACATTCATATGTTTTAGATTCATTGCACACTAACTGAAATATTTCAGGTCTTTTATTGTCTTAATATGGATGATTTTAGCATAAAGATCATGAAAACCCAATATTTCTATCTAAAAAATTTGCATCAAAAACAAAAGAAAAGTGTTCTTAATACAAAAAAAGTCAACCTTCAAATTATGTACAGTTAAGCAGTCAATAGTTGGTCGGGAATCCTTTAGCAGAAATGACTGCTTCAATGCGGTGTGGCATGGAGGCAATCAGCCTGTGCCACTGCTGAGGAGTCATGGAGGCCCAGGATGCTTCCATAGCGGCCTTTAGATCATCCACAGTGTTGGGTCTTGTGTCTCTCAACTTCCTCTTCACAACATCTCTATGGAGTTCCGGTCAGGAAAGTTGGCAGGCCAATTGAGCCCAGTGATACCATGGTCAGTAAACCATTATCCAGTAATTTTAGCACTGTGAGCAGGTTCCAGGTTGTGCTGAAAAATGAAATCTCCATCTTCATAAAGCTTTTCAGCAGATGGAAGCATGAAGTGCCTCAAAATCTCCTGCTAGCTAGCTGCATTGACCCTGCCCTTGATCAAAAACAGTGGACCAACGCCAGCAGCTGACATGGCGCCCCAGACCTTCACTAACTGTGGCTTCTTGACATTGGACTTCTGGCATTTCCTTTGCTCCAGTCTTCCTCCAGACTATAGCACTTTGATTTCCAAATGACATGCAAAACCGAGCAACAGTCCAGTGCTGCTTCTCTGTAGCCCAGGTCAGGAGCCTCTGCAGCTGTTTCTGGTTCAAATGTGGCCTGACCTGGGGAATGCGGCCCCTATAGCCCATTTCCTGCACACGCCTGTGCATGGTGGCTCTGGATGTTTCTACTCCAGACTCAGTCCACTGCTTCTGCAGCTCCCCCAAGGTCTGGAATCGGTCCTTCTCCACAATCATCCTCAGGGTCCATTCACCTCTTCTCATTGTGCAGCGTTTTCTGCCACACTTTTTCCTTCCCACAGACTTCCCACTGAGGTGCCTTGATGCAGCACTCTGGAAACAGCCTATTCGTTCAGAAATATCTCTCTGTGTCACACGCTCTTGCTTGAGGGTGTCATTATGGCCTTCTGGACAGCAGTCAGGTTGGCAGTCTGACCCATGATTGGGGCTGGGTAAAAAAAAATATTCCTTTACATTTTTGCAAAATTGATGTCTAGGGAATAAGATCGATTAGTTTTATAGTGACGAGCGTGACGACCACATTTAAATGAGCAGGGAAGATGCACTCAGGATGACTTGACGCCAGACAGCTGCAAATATAGCCAATAGGTTGACTGAAGGCATTAACAAATGGGCAGCAAACACCCTGTAGTTACAGACAACGCTGCAAATATGGTTTGTGCAGTGGAGATAATGCAGCTCATGCATGTCTGCTGCTGTGTCACGTCTGCTTCTTCGAGTGAGGCTTCACTTTTAGACTTTTCACAAAGTTTGTACTTTTGAGACAGTTCTGTTCACATCTGAAGTTTAAACTGTCTGATTAACAAGTTTGCACTTTGGAAAAAATAAAATACATGAGTATTTTGAAACACAGTTGAACCACCTTCATTATTGTGAAAAACAGATTGAATTCAAATCAATCGATTTTGAACTCTATGAATCAAAATTGAATCGATTCAGGACTATAGCGAAAATACCCAGCCCTACCCATGATCGGGGTTTTGAGTGATGATTTTGCAGGTGTTTAGAGTTAATTTGTTGGTTCAGATGATTAGGTGCATAGCTCCTTTAGAGACCTTTTTCATGACATGCTAATTTTGTGAGATAGGAATATTGGGTTTCCATGAGCTGTTTGCCAAAATAATCCATATTAAGACAATAAAAGACCTGAAATATTCAGTTAGTGTGCAATGAATCTAAAATATATGAATGTATAACTTTTATCATTACATTATGGAAAATAATTAACTTTATCGCACTATGCTAATATTTTGCGAAGGACCTGTAGGTGACTGCAGACAGGGGCAGTATGCTCTGTCGCTTAGCAACTTTAACGGTTGACTCAAAAAGCAGGAAAACAATGAATACCAAACTTTTCTAAACTGTTTCTTTTTAGTTTTTTTCCCCTTTTTTTTATTGTAAAGTTAAAAAAAAGACTACTCATGAGAATCCAGAGTGGAATAAATGTCCCAACCACCGGGAGCATGAACAAATAAAAGCAAATATAACGATATAAACCTCAGTCAGTTAAATAACATGCTGGTGTCATTTTGAACATCTCTGCTATTTTCAAACATCCATCATTGTGAAAGCTTATCTGTGTTGATCAAATCTGAAGAAGAGAAATTACCCAGAAAGGTTTTTCATTGGTTATATGAGCCACAATGTAAAAATGTACAATCCTCCACCTCTGAGGTGCTTTAAATGCCAAAAATTCGATCATATAGCAGCAGTATCTAAAGGAAAGCAACATCGTGGAAGGTGTGATGGAAAGAAAGAATGTGGAAAATGTGGAAAAAAGTAAAGATTAGATTAGACATAGTGCTGCATATTGCAGGTTTGCAGTGAGCAGAAGATCTAAAGAGATCAGAAAAGTGAAATTAGAGCAATGCTGAAGTTATGCTGAAGCTGCAAGCAGGATCCCATCTCAGTCAGAAAGACCCAAACCTACAGTTAAGTTCAAAGCCTCTGGAGCAGCGTCCCAAAATTGCAGAAGATTCATTGATTGCAAAAAAAAAAGAGAAAGATTTTGTTCTTTTCATGGTAGAAGTGATCAGTTGTAGTGCTCAGACAAAAAGAAAAAAAAAAAAAATCAAAATAATAGTGAAAGCTGCAGAAATGTGTTGAAGTTAGAGATTTAAACTGGGAAATGGTGAAAAGCATGATGGGAAAACTGATAGAAACTGGTAGAGTGATGATGACTTAAAGATAAATTAGAAATTATAAGGACAGATGTGATTATTATGTTGGGTTAAGTTAAACAGTTCAGAAAAATATAAATTTTTTAATTTCATTTTTTTCAGAGGTGTCAAGTTACGAAGTACAAATACTTCATTACTGTACTTAAGTACACTTTTTAGGTATCTATACTTTACTTCATTACTTATTCTTCCTACTTCTGACTTCTACTCATTATATTTTCACACAAGTATCTGTACTTTATATTCCTTACATTTTTAAACAAACGTTACTAGTTACTTTTGGCTTCAGTTTAATGTTTATAAATATTTATTTCACGTCATGTGCTCCATCCAATGCAGATCATTGGCTCCATCCACATCTAGTAAAAAAACTAGTGTAATTGGATGAGTCATATAACGCAAACACTCATTGGTTAGCTAATGGAAATCATCAGAAGCAAGCAGGTGTTCTGCAAACTGCAAACGTGAATCATCTATGCCATGCTACAATGTAGGATTCAGAAAAAGATGTTGAAATGTCTGAAAGATCGGACACAGGCGAGAGCGTATCGGGAGACGGAGACCAACAAGACCTCCCTCATCCTTGGCCCTATCTCAAAGAATTTTTCACAATAGTCAAATAATTTAGCTTTCAGTTCATATAGTGGCATCTGGCTGTTTTTTTTTTTAAGTTTACTTTATACTTTCATTCTTTCAGTAGTTTTTGGAGCACATACTTTTTCACTTTTACTTGAGTAAAGAGGTCAAGCTGATACTTCAACTTTTACCAGAGTGTTTTTAAACTGCGGTATCTATACTTCTATTTAAGTAACAAATGTGTGCTTTTGACACCACTGATTTTTTTCAGGGGGGTGAGTCGAGTCTTGTTTCCTGTTTCCTTGTTTAACTCCTTACCAGTTGGTGGCGGTAATGCCCTTTTAATAGTTTGCAACCGCCATAAAACCACACAAGAAGAAGAAGAATCAAACGAAAGAAGAAGAAGAGGAGAAGATAAAATAGTAAACTAGCCCCACCCTTTTTTTTTGTTTATTGAACAAAAACCTTATTTATATATATATATATATATACAGGAGATCAACTTAACTTGTGCAAGGCAACAGAAATACATAAATAAACAGGCAGTAATATTACAACCTATGGAAACATACAAAAAATAAAAAAGAATTACCTGAAAGTAAAAGAGACTCATTCTGCAACAAGACAGTTCCTTGCATCATTTTAACTTTAGCACTTTGTTGAGTCATAAAACCAGAAATTGTGACATGTCCTTACATAGTTTCTGTTTATGTCCATAATTATTGGCTAAAAGAAATAAACATTAAAAGAAGATTTTGAGTTTGTTTTTAAAACTTATGTATGAATTTTCATACTCATTTCAATATTGACCATGTCAGATAAGTCCTGCGCAATTTCATTCTTGTATGTTAGCAAAAAGTAGTATACTTGAAGTAAATTCTATTAAGAATACTTAAGTATAACTTTAGAAAGTATACCAAACAATGTACTTTTAGTGTACTTGAAGTATTACTAAAGTAATACTTCTTCAAACTAAATTTGGACATTTTTAAGTTTACTAAAGTATACTCTAGTAAATAATAAAGTAAACAATAGTATTGTTAGGTATATGAAACATTGTTTAGATTTAGAATAACTAAACTCTAAAGT